CCCAGAATGCTGGTATTACAGGCATGAGCCACCACATCTGGCCTCACAGTCTCTTTCAAGTGCATGCTGTATGCATCCATGATCACTTCAAATTTAACACATCTAGAATTAAGTTTACACTCTGTCCCACCCAGACATGACTTCCCTGTAATATTCCTTTTTCCAAATAGAACCACCAGAATCTCCCTAATCATTCAGAATGGAAGCCAGGATTCCCCTTGTTCCTACACTGCTTCCTTCCCATCCATAGTTTACTGTACACTAGGCCTTCCAACTCTGCTTCCTTAATTCTTCATTCCCCGCTGTGGGTGGAGTGCCCTCAGCCTCTCCTCAGCAAAGTAATGACACCTGAATCTCAGCCTGCACCTTGTGCCCCACCCATGGGATATAGCAAAGCCTGTCCTTCCCCCCTTCTCTGGCAAGGGCTGTCTAGTTTTCTACAGAAAGACCCCCATACCCACCCTAGGCCCATGAAACTAACAGTGATGCACGTGAGACTTCATCCTGGCCAATCAGAATGTCGTCCCCTCCAGGAAGTGTGAGTGATTAAGGAACGGCCTCAACCCAAGTGAAGACAGCAGTTTGGGCCAGTGGGATTCTACTCTGGGGCTTTTGTTGGAACCATTGAAAGAAAAACTATGCTCCTTTTCTGGTGGAGTCACTGACGGCAGGCATCAGACATCAGCACAGGGCCATCTCACCACCATGAGGGAGAACACACCTTTGAGCTGAGCTGAGAGAGGCAGAGACCCAGTCCTGGTGACAACCCACCAAATCCAACCATGTCTGAATCCAGCAGACTCACACTTTCTCCAATCAGTTTGCTTAAACCAGTTTGATGGGGTTTTCTGTCACTGAAATGTCCTGACAGTTAGTTTCCGGCCAACCCCTTCACTGCCACCATGTCTCTCTAAAACAGCAATTCTCAGCCTCCTGGCCATGACAGCATGCGAAGCGAAATAGCAGGTGTCTCTGCAGTGCTCTCTCAGGGTCACCTGCCGTCCTTATTGTGCCAGCTCCAATTCCATTTCCCTCCCTTAAGAAAGAACCTCAGAACGTGAGTGGAGTGACATTTTTATAGGGGTAACCTTGAATCCTTGCCAACCAAGGAAAGTTAAGCCACTCGTGAGCTTCAATACTTTATTTTTAGCAGCAGATTTCTTGCCGCCACATACCTTCCAACTGAGGCTATGACCAAGCATTGTGCTTCTACACATGAATCTGATCGCATACCCCTGTCCTCCACACCCCCCAGGAGTACTGGGAGTGAGCTGCAGGAGTTGCTGGCTGCCACCAAACTGCATCTCACACCCTGTTCCCTTCCTCAAACATTCCTGGTGTTTTACAAGAGATGTACTGTACAGCAGAAGACCTATTAAAAAAAAAAAAAAAAGACAGAAACATGGACTGCAGAAAACAGAACACAGTTTGCTCATCCATTCATTCTTGAGCACCTGCTATGTGCCAGACACAGCTTCATTTTTATTATTTTATTTTAATTAACTAATTAGTTAATTAATTAATTTTTTTGAGACAGAGTCTTATTCTGTTGCTGTTGCCCAGGGTAGAGTGCCATGGTGTCAGCCTAGCTCACAGCAACCTCAAACTCCTGAGTTCAAGTGATCCTCCTGCCTCAGGCTCCCAAGTAGCTGGGACTACAGGTGCCTGCCACAATGCCTGGCTAATTTTTCTCTTTTTAGCAGAGACGGGTCTCACACTTGTTCTGGTTGGTCTCAAATTGCTGAGTGCTTTCGATCTATTGATCTATCATCCAGCTTTGGCCTCCCAGAGTGCTAGGCTTACAGGCGTGAGCCACTCTGCCTGTCCTCAGATACTGTTTTAGATACTCAGGGAATAAGAGATAAGATTCCTGCTCTCAAGGAGACAAAGTATATAGAAAACAAAGAATTTAGAGATAGTGGTAAGTGCTAAGCAAAGAGCTTAAAAAATGATGTGATGGTGACAAAAGAGCTACTTTCAGAGAGAGAATCAGGGAAAGCCTCTCCGAGAAAAGTAACTTTTCACTTACTGGCATGAAAACAAAGCTCAATGTTTTATTTTTATTTTTATTAATCACAGCTGTGTGCATAAATACTATCATGGGGTACAGTGTACTGTTTCTGTATACAATTTGAAATACTTTCATTCAACTGGTTAAGATAGTCTTCATGTCTTTTTCTTAGTTATTGTGTTAAGACATTTATAGTCTACTTTTAGGGAGATTCACATGTACCCTTAAAGGATGAACCATAGGCATGATCCCTCCAATCACCCTCCCTCCAACCATCCTTCCCCCTTCCCTCCCCTCCCTTCTTAGCAAAGTATCTCAGGAATGGAAGAAAACGTATCTGATGTACTCAGTCCTATTATGAAACTAACTTATATATTTCATAGGAAAACTATAACCCACTTTTAGCCCAAGAATATGGGGAAAGGGGAGAGGGAGGTCAATGGTTTTGAAATAGAAAAAAGCTTTTCTTTTTCCTCCTTAGGACAACTCAGGAGTAAGTAAGTGAATGTAAGTTGAGTGCTCCAAACAAAAGAGGGGAAACACTTACTCAAATGTTAGAAGAAATTTTTATCCCAAATCATAGCTTTTATAAAGTGGATGAAAACCCAAACTATAGCATATCATTTTTTGAAGTTGTCAAAATGAAGCCCTTCTTGATAGCTTATGAAAAGGACTTTGTCCCCAAACGCCGTGCTCTGTCCTTCACTGGGGAAAATTGTTGGAAAAAGCCAGAATCAACAAGCTCCACAGGGCACTGGCTGGGAAGGCTCCTAGAAATGACCTACATTGTTCATCAGTCAAGACCAACCATGAGATCTGGGAAAGAGCAGAACGTAAGCACGGTGAGAAGACCCAGAATCTCATTTTCACCATCATTATGAGGCTTCGTGGTCTGCCTTGGGCAGGTGGGGACGAGTCTCCCAGAGCTGGCTGTCCCAGAGTGATGGGTTCTGCTGGGTGGCTGTCTCTCCTCAATGTCATGGTGGATCAGGGTGTTTTGAGCTGAACTGATCCTTGAGAAGTTGTTTAAGCAGAGTGGGTAAGTCTATAAGCTTTGGAACCAAAAACCAGAACTAACCACGGTTTGAATTGCAGCTTCATCCAACACTTAACAGTTGTAAGATGTTGACAAGATACTCTCCTAGATTTGGTTTATTTATTTATAATAAATTAATTTATCTGGAACCAGTGACTACCTCCTAGAATTAAAGATTAAATGGCATAATGCTTGTATAACACCAAGTATTGGCAAATGTATGATGAATGGTGATAAGATTGGGATGATGTGGGGGTCCCACTGGATGTTTTATAAAGCAAAAATTAGTGTGGACAAAGGTGGTGGTTCACACCTGTAATCCCAGAGCTTGGGAGGCTGAGGCAGTTGGATCCCCTAAGCCCCCAGAGGGTTAATTGTGGTTAATTTGAGCCCACGGAGAAGACGGAGGTAGCCCATGACTCTATGTCTTAAGTTATGAAAATCAGGAAATTGTCTTAGTGTGTGTCTATCTGCCAGGGTTTCAAACCACAAACATATCATAGTTTAACACTTCGACTGTCCCTCCTTTTCTAAGCAATAATTGTGCTTAAAAAGAAAGAAAAAGCAACAGGATTAAGACATACTTTGAAGTAAAGTGGCTTCACTATTTTTGCAGTTAATTCCTGATGCTCTCACCTTCTCCAAGGCAAAACATTCTCTGTATAGAAAAAATCCTAACAGCCTCCACCACATACAAGCACACACACCTACACACCCACAAACGCAGAAAAGCAGGGCTGGGAGAAGGGTGATGTGTTTCTGAAAGCAGAAAAAGAAAAAAATCTTACTGACACAGAAAAAAAAAAATCAATTCTGGTTTTATGTGTCACGTACAGAAATAAATAAAGTGCTATCAAATGTTTAAGATGGGCCTGCTCTCATTTACAAGCCTTCAAATTCTGCTATCAAAACATTTAGAGAGCAGCAACTGAGCTTTTTGGGGAGGAGGGGGCAGAGTCTCACTTGATCACCCTGAGTAGACAGCCCTGGCGTCTTAGCTCACAGCAACCTCAAACTCTAGGGTTCAAGTGATCCTCTTGTCTAAGCCTCCTGAGTACCTGTGACTACAGGTGCCTGCCACAACACCCAGCTATTTCTTAGAAATGGGGTTCTCCAACCGGTGAGGTCAGGGGATCCACCTGCCTCAGCCTCCCAAGCTCTGGGATTACAGGTGTGACCCACCATGCCCAGCAGTATTGAGATTTCTGATAAGAACCGAAACATTAATCTGGAAGTTTAAGCAGGGAACCTGTGTACACATAGCTGAGCTGCTTTGTCAATTCTTGCTTTTCATTAGATAACTGCCCAGCATGACACATGTACACAGGGCAATTATTTTAATAAACAGTTCATGACTAAGGACATTCTCAACACAACGGACCTTAACTACCTACTCTACAAAACAGAATGAACACGTGGGAAACCTTGGCAAGAAAAGGGACAAGGGTGATATCGCGCTCTAGCGAGATAAGGAGCTCTCATGACAGACTCCACCCTTTCACAGCTCTATAAAGGCGGTGTTCCTCCCCACCTAGGTGACGGGAACTCACTGCTGCTACAAGATGCAAAGCCGAGTCTGCTCTCTGTGGATTGGAGAGCCCTGAACCTGCCGCCACGCTGGTGAACTTGGCTTGGTGCTCAAGCAGCTGCTGAGGGAGGAAGACAGACCAAAGTGGAATTGGAAACCAAGGAGGAGGTTTGAAAGGCCCTCAGCAATCTAACACGGAGCTGTGAAGGAGATAATTAAAGGGAGAGAGGTCATCACACAGTGAGTTTCTCTGCTGCGCTTACCAGGGTAGGGCCAGTTGTGGGGAAGCACAGTGCAGGTAGATGCTTTGAAAAGACAGCTCCATTTTCTTAGTTTTGGGGTAGTTGGTACCAGCTCTTTCCGTGACTTTAAAAATCTGTAGTTGTACTGTCTTAAATTTAAGAAAATCTTTGGGAGTGGACACAATGGCAACGATCGCCAAGACTCATGAAGATATCCAAGCACAGATTCGAGAAATTCAAGGCAAGAAGGAAGTTCTTGATGAAGCTCAAATAGTGGGCCTGCATTCTACAGGTTATTATGACCAGGAAATTTATGGTGCAAGTGACAGCAGATTTTTTGGATATGTGACATCAATTGCAGCACCGAACTTGAAGATGATGAGATGACTACCATCATCTACAAGTTTGCTTGGTCAGAAGCCACGATATCATACTCCTGTGGCATTGCTTAATGATAAACCATAGTCAGCAGAACAGTATGATCCATTTGTCGAGTGTCAACCTCCAAAGATTGTAGACTAAGAAGATGAATTCAAAGCATAGGTGGACCATGATAATTTCTCCAGAGCTTTCTGATCCTTTCACAGATGGAGGGAAGACCCCGATCCTAAAATGAATGCAAGGACTTACATGGATGTAATGCGAGAACAGCATTTTATTGAAGAAAAGGAGAAATCAGGCAACAGCTAGCAGAAAAAACTAAAGCTGGAGAACTAAAAGTCATCAATGGAGCAGCAGCATCTCAGCCTTGGTCAAAACGAAAACGGGTGCTGGGATCAAACACCTACTGAATCAGATTTCTGGTCTCCCTCCTAAAAAGCTGTTAAGTTGGGATCAAGCAGAGACCCCTGGACATACCCCTTCCTTAAGATGGGATGAAACACCAGGTCATGCAAAGGGTAGTGAGACTCCTGGAGCAACTGCAGGCTCAAAAATATGGGATCCTACACCTAGCCACACACCAGCAGGAACTGCTACTTCTGGAGAAGGAAATACACCAGGTCACGCAGCACCAGGCCATGGTGTAAAAGCAGATGGGATGAGACCCCCCAACAGGATACTCCTGGGCATGGAATTGGATGGGCTGAGACTCCTCGAACAGATACGGGAAGTGATTCGATTGATGAAACCCCAACTCCTAGAGCCGGTAAAAGAAAGTCATGTTTGGATGAAACACCGACTAGTCAGATGGGGGGAAGCACTCCTGTTCTGACCCATGGAAAAACACCAATTGGCATACCAGCCATGAATATGACTAACCCTACTCCAGGTCAGACTCTTGAACAGCTTCAGGCTTAGTGATGGGAAAGAGAAATTGATGAGAGAAATCACCCACTTTCTGCTGAAGAATTGGATACTGTTTTCTCAGAAGAATATAAAGTCCTTCCTTCTCCAACTGGTTACATTCCTGTTCAAACTCCAGCTTGAAAGTTGACAGCTACAACAATACCTTTGGGTGGTATGACTGGTTTGCACATGCAACCTGAAGATAAAACTATGAAAAGTGTTAATGATCAGCCATCTGGAAATCCTCCATTTTTAAAACCTGATGATATTCAGTACTTTGGTAAACTATTGGCTGATGCTGATGAATCAACACTTGGTCCAGAAGAACAGAAAGTGAGGAAAATAATGAAGTTGCCTTTGAAATTTAAGAATGGAACACCACCAATGAGAAAGGCTGCATTGAGTCAGATTACTGATGAAGCTAAAGAATTTGGAGCTGGTCCTTTGTTTAATCAGATTCTTCCTCTACTGATGTCTGCTATACTTGAGGATCAGGAGCATCATTTACTTGTGAGAGTTGTTGATAGAATACTGTAAAAACTTGATGACTTAGTTCAACCATATGTGCACAAGATCCTTGAAGTCATTGAACCACTGTTAGTTGATGAAGATGATTATGCTCAAGTGGAAGGCCGAGAGATTATTACTAATTTAACAAAGGCTGCTGGTCTGGCTACTATGATCTCCACATGAGAGCTTCTATAGGTAATATGGATGAATATGTCCATAATACAACAACTAGAGCTTTTGCTGTTGTAGCCTCTGCCCTGGGCATTCCTCCTTTATTGCCCTTCTTAAATGCCATGTGTAAAAGCAAAAAGTCCTGGAAAGCAAGACACACTGGTATTAAGATTGTACAGCAGATAGCTATTCTTATGGGCTGTGCCATCTTGCCACATCTCAGATGTTTAGTTGAAATCATTGAACACTGTCTTGTGGATGAGCAGCAGAAAGTTCAGACCATTACTGCTTTGGCCATTGCTACCTTGGATGAGGCAGCAACTCCTTATGGTATCGAATCTTTTGATTCTGTGTTCAAGCCTCTAGGGAAGGGTATCCGCCAACACAGAGGCCTGAATTTGGCTGCTTTCTTAAAGGCCATTGGATATCTTATTCCTCTCATGAATGCAGAATATGCTAACTATTACATGAGAGAAATAATGTTAATTCTTATTCGAGAATTCCAGTCTCCCGATGAGGAAATGAAGAAAATTGTGCTGAAGGTGGTAAAACAGTGTTGTGGGACAGATGGTGTAGAAGCAAACTATATTAAAACAGAGATTTTTCCTCCTTTTTTAAAATACTTCTGGCAACACAGAATGGCTTTGAATAGAGGTAATTACCAACAGTTAGTTGATACCACTGTGGAGTTGGCCAACAAAGTAGGTGCAGCAGAAATTATATCCAGGATAGTGGATGAGCTGAAAGATGAAACTGAACAATACAGAAAAATGATGATGAAGACAACTGAGAAAATGATGGGCACCTTGGGAGAAGCAGATATAAACTTGAAGAACAACTGATTGGTGATATTCTTTATGCTTTCCAAGAATAGATGACAGAGGACTCAGTACTGTTCAGTGGCTTTGGCACAGTGGTAAATGCTCTTGGCAAATGAGTCAAACCATACTTGCCTCAGATCTGTGGTACAGTTTTGTGACATTTAAATAACAAATCAGCAAAAGTTAGGCAGCCAACTTGCTATCCCAAACTGCTGTTGTCATGAAGACTTGTCAAGAGGAAAAATTGATGGGGCACTTGGGTGTTGCATGAGTATTTGGGTGACGAGCACCCCTAAGTATTGGGCAGCATTCTTAAAGCACTGGAGTCCATTATGCATGTTACAGGTATGCATAAGATGACCCCACCAATTAAAGATCTGCTACCTAGACTCACCGCCATCTTAAACAACAAGCATGAAAAAGTACAAGAGAATTATATTGATCTCGTTGGATGTATTGCTGACAGGGGAGCTGAGTATGTATCTGCAAGACAATGGATGAGGATTTGCTTTGAGCTTTTATAGCTCTTTAAAGCTTACAAAAACTATTCATAGGACCACAGTCAACACTTTTGTTTATATTGCAAGGGCCATTGGTCCTCATGAAGTATTGGCTACGCTTCTAAACAACCTCAAAGTTTAGGAAGGGCAGAACAGAGTTTGTACCACTGTAGCAATAGCTATTAATGCAGAAACATGTTCACCTTTCACAGTACTCCCAGCTTTAATGAATGAATACAGAGTTCCTCAACTGAATGTTCAAAGTGAAGTGTTAAAATCATTTTCCTTCTTGCTTGAATATATTGGTGAAATGGGAGAGGACTACATTTATGCTGTAACACCTTTACTTGAAGATGCTTTAATGGTACACAGGCAGATCACTAGTTTGGTAGTGCAACACCAGTCGCTTGGAGTTTTTGGATTTGGTTGTGAAGATTCACTGAATAACGTGTTGAACTATGTATGGCCCAATGTGTTTGAGACATCTCCTCATGTAATTCAGGCAGTTATGGGAGCCTTGGACGGCCTGAGAGTTGCTATTGGACCATGTAGAATATTGCAGTTTTGTTTACAGGGTTTGTTTCACCCAGCCTGAAAAGTCAGAGATGTATACTGGAAAATTTCCAATTTCATCTACATTGGTTCCCAGGACAGTCTCATAGCACATTACCCAAGAATCTACAATGATGGCAATAACATCTATATTCATTACAAACTTGACTATATCTTATAACTTTGTGTTGGAAGTTATAAGATAACTTATAACTATAAGCACAGCTATTTCACACTTAAACTTGCTTCGATTTGGTGATGTAAACTTTTGAACATTACAGGTCAGTGTAGAGGAAATGCTAGAAATCCAGTAGCATGTTTTTATTTGTTGTTGTTGTTGTTGTTTTGAGATAGTCTTAGGTTCAAGTGATCGTCTTGCCTCTGTTTTTCTATTTTTAGTAGAGACAGGGTTTTGCTTTTTGCTCAGGCTGTTCTTGAACTCTTGAGATCAAGCTATATACCCGCCTCCACTTCCCAGAGTGCTAGGATCACAGGCATGAGCCACCATGCCCAGCCTGTTCATTTGAGCAATAAACATTTATATTACAAAAAAAAATCTTGGGTCTTCTCTCCCAACTTGGAAGCTACCACTACCTCTATCTCTCTGGGTTCTAGCACCTACTACAGGCAGAACTGGGAGGATGTGGACTTCTCCATTCTGTGCCAGATGTGTCTTAGAGAAAACCCATATATCCGAATGACCAAAAAAATATATGGGAAGGAATGCAAGATCTGTGCCAGGCCATTCACATACAGTGTTTTGCTGGTGTCTGGGAGTCCACATGCATTTCCAGAAGACTGAAGTGTGGCAAACCTGCAGTCAATTGTAGAATGCCTGTCAGACCTAGAGTATGGCCTGCCTATCCATATTCATGACGCAGGGATTGCCTTTCAAAGATGACATGCCAAAATCATGTATGCATCAATGAAGTACTATACACAGAACATGGAGAGAGAGATTTCTAACTGATGGAACTCGGCCATTTGGTGTACTGGGGAAAGGCTCATCTACCATGGACATGTTGCTCAAACTGGCCCAGACTACACCGTGCTACAAAGGGAATCGGCACAATGGTTGCTCCTTCTGGATTAAAGGAGAGTGCAAGGGAGGGATGTCTGTATGGAAAGATCCACATGACCTCCTTGCTGACCAGAATATTAAAGACCAATATTATGGAATCAGTGACTCTGTAGCTGATAAGCTTCTACAATAGGCTTAACTATGCCTCCTCCAGACCCACTAGAGAATAAAACTGTCACCACACTCCATGTTCATGGCCTGGGTGATACTATTGCTGAGCCAGATGTAAGAAGTCATTTCTAGGAGTTTGCAGAGATCTAGACAGTGTCAGAAAGCAGTGTGCTTTCATCCAGTTTGCCACATAACAGGTTGCAGAAGCGGCTGCTGAGAGGTCCTTTAATAAGTTGATTGTTGGTGGAACCTGTAGCACAGTGGGTGGGAGCTGGCTACATACACCCAGGCTGGTGGGTTCAAACCTGGCTGGGGCCAGCTGAGACAACAATGATAACTGCAACAACAACAAAAAATAGCTGGGTGTTGTGGCAGGTGCCTGTAGTCTCAGCTACTTGGGAGGCTGAGGCAAAAGAATCACTTGAGCCCAAGAGTTTGAGTTTGCTGTGTGCTGTGACACCATGGCACGCTACCCAGGGAGACAGCTTGAGACTCTGTCTCCAAAAAAAAAACAAAAAAGTTGATCGTCATTAAGTGAGGTGAAAGCTATGTTTGATGTAAGCATTCCAAGTTGCATATGAAATCACCATATTGTACCCCATAAATGCATTAATGTACGGTTATGATTTAATACAAAATAAAATAAAAATTTAAATTTAAATAAAAAACAGGCCCTTTCCACAAGATCCATAAGGCCAAAATCTGCTGTTTCCAGTTTCCACAGAGTCGCCAAGGGTAGGGTGATGATTCTCTCTGTTCTGCATTTTAAAATGATACCTTCAAAGGGACCTGCTCACTTCACCTCCAGATCAGGTCCACGGTTCATCTGCCTCACTAATTTTCCATTGCACGCACCCAGATACCAGTTCCATCATCTCCCATCTGGGTTCAGCCTGATTTCTCTTGGGCCTCCATTCAATCCCCCACCTCCATTCATTAATCCTCCAGAAAGAGCTCCTAAAATCAGAAATCACACCTGCTTAAATATCCTGGTGCTCAGGCCATACCCCAGACTAACTACATCATAATCTTGGGGCAGGACCGGGCATCAGTAGGTTTGATGTTCCCTGGGTGATGCCATTGGGCAGCCCAGACCAGGCCAAGACCCCTCCTGGAGACTGTCATATGGTAGAATGTGATGACAGTGTCTGCGCTCAGAACACCTGCCACATAGGCAGCAGTGCAGACCCCTGCAAACTACCTGTGGCCCCTGGGGGTGCAGACAGGGAGCCCCATACAAGCTGCATCCCAACACAACCCAATCACTTCAGTTAGGCAGGGTGAAGGTCAGGAGGATCATCGGATGCAGACTACAAATCTGGACCTGGTCTTATCCAGCTCCACTCATTTTTCAAGTGACAAAATCATTGCTTAGAGAGGTGTCACAGCCCTCTTCTTGGGCTAGTGGGCTTTTGGCAGATGACATATGGCAATCTATTGGAAGCTGGTCCCTACCTAGACCTAGAACAGCCCTCACCCAGAGAGGCCTCTCAGCTTTGGTTTGAAAGGGTGGTGGTTTTGGTTGACCTTGCCAAAGTGGACCATGGTCTGGGGGTGCTGGCAGAATCAGCCACCCGCTCCTACTTCCCATGGGTTTGACGTGTTCTCAGCACTCTGCACCTCTTGTGGAAGGCCTCTCAGCAGCATGCGTGGTGTGCAGCAGACAGAAGAAAGACAAGGTCCTTCGTAGTATCACCCACCCCATGGGGGCAGAATTCTTACCAAGTCTGTTCAGAGTGGAAGGGTCCTAGAAACGTATGATTTTGTATTTGCTAAAGGCAACATAGTGAGACTCTGTCTCAAAAATGAAAACAGAAAAAAAAAAGATTTTTTTTCTCAAAATATAGATTATGGACCATTCACATAAGACTCACATATGGTACTAAAAATACTGGTATCTGAGCATCAGCCTAGGCTCAAGTAAATACAAATTTTCAAAGGTTAGTCTTAAGCATTTGCATTTTAATGAGTTTATTATGTGCTTACCTGAACTACTGAAATTTGACAACCAACCTTGCAGAATTTCACAAACAGAAAGAAAGACAAAACAAACCAAAAACAAAATACATCTCCCAACAAGAAAAATGTTGATGATGTCAAGGTCCAAGTCCTTTTAGACTGATTAGCTTTGCTGAAATGGAGGATCCCTACCCTTAGCCAGAAAGCCATCTCACTAATACTGCTCTTGGCTACAAAAACAAGGGAAAGCAAGGAACAGAGTAAAAGCAATCATCACAATGCAGAAGTCCCCTTAAAAACAGACGATGTGGCTTCCAGCGGCTTCTAGATAGAGTAGTGGTACAAATATTTGTCAAATGAATGGGAGAGCATAATCACAAAGTTTGCCCTACCAATCAGCAGCCAATCAATTGCCTTATTCAAAGCACAGCCAAGTTCTTTTTAGAATATATAACCAGCTACCATACCTTGAATAATCCATTTTCTAAGAATATCACAGGTGATGGTGTGTGTAAGAGACTAATGGAAAATTACCAGAGGAGAATGAAAGCAAGCTGTGCTCTTGACCTTCTCTGTGCTTTTTCTTTTTACTATGCAACTGGCACAGTTCTTGTTTTCATCACTGCTGCCTACAGTATTCTTTGTGAACAATTTATTATTCTTTCTGTTATTCTTTCTTCAGCTTTTTACTGTATTTTTCCCTTGAAATTTTCACTTAATTTTTTTCAGATGTGATTTCATTTTATTGTAGAACTCATAAGGAGGTACTTCAACTGATAAGAAAATTTAGATTTTACCTGCATACCTTAATGAATTGATTTAAAAGCATTAAATTTTTTGGCATAAATTGAGTTCCATAAAGGGGAAAAATCAATACCTGAAGAACAAGTGAAAGTCTCTGGCAAAGGCTAATAATATTATGGTGGAGCAAAGCAAAGAACTTTATGAATAGGAATTTCAGAGGCTGAAGAATACATAAAGTTAATGATAATGAATTCACATAAAAATATTCCCATTAAATAAAAGTTCACTTTTCAACAGCTAGCCAAAGTTAAGGTAAATTGCTTGAGCTAATTAATGCAGTCTGAATTTCTGAAAATTTGTTATAATAAAGTTCACAATCTCTTAAATAGAATGCTTTGGTAAAAGAGAGTGGAATTTAAAAATCTGATAAGTGGTTTTAAACTGGAATTGATTCTGTAATCCCAGCCACCATATAAAAATTACCTACCATCATTTCCAATTTAAATGTATACCTAGCATATGGTTAGAGTATTACATGCTATTTATAAATAAGAGATGGTACACCTGGAAATCTTATGCTGCCTTCATAAATGACATTATTTAATAAATTTATTTGTCCCAGAATATTTTTATGTGTTATTTTCTAAATGCTAAGCATTGTAATATAGGATCTGGAAGTCTAAAGATGAAATATATCTGAAGACTTATTGACAAATAAGAATCTGTATCTACAAGAAACATTTTATAAATATAAGACCAAATATTATAAAAAAGGAAATAGTAAAATAAAAAAGGTTGGCACCGAGAAAATGGAAAAATGGAAGGAAAGAATATATTTCAGAAAATTTCAAAAGGCCTAAGATTTCCCGGTAATTGTGAGCAGTTCAAAATAACTGGAGTATGGAGGGAAGGGAGAATTGTACAAACTATACAATGGCTGCTTTGTTGGTGATGTGGAAAAGCTTGAGCCGCTTTTACTCTTCATTTAATTTCGAATCGGAATCCCTCACTATCTTATCTGCATGGATCCTACCCATCCCAGTACACCTTCCAGCAAAAGGTCCTACTCATATCTATGCATGTGAAATATAATGAAACTCTCTTCCATTCACAGCTCTTTTCTACTGAATCTCTCATCTGAAAAAATTTAAATCAAAAATTTTAATAGACATATCAATAAAATATCTATCAACACATATGTGTGTGTTTATATATGTATATGTGTGTATATTTATATATGCACATAATTTCCGTACAATAGAAGCTCTGTAAGTTGACTACCTAAA